CACCTCTTTAATCGACTACTCGACCTTTGCTTCTTATACTTGGCCTTCTAGAGATTTTAACCACTGCCTGACACTCCCCATATGTCTTTCATCATCCTTTGCTGCTCATTTGTTGCCTTAAATAAAATCTATCTTCGTAGCACTTGAACCCACAAATCGTTACTAACTTTAAACCTATCCGAAGATCATCTTTCTCGAGCCGTCAACATTAGAAACACTGATTCAATCCTGAACCACTGCACCTCGTGATATCTAACAGTAGTTTCTCCAATATTATTTCACAATATCTTATCCCAAAGGCGAATTTGTAGAAGACCATAACATCGGCGAACTTAACACATACAATCGAGGACGGCGACACTACATCGTAGATGAAAATTCCACCACACTCGAAAATACCAAGTCTCGTTACTCCATCACCCCAAATCTGGACATTCATAGGCCAATTATTTTTTCCTCCACCGGAAATGAAATATCAGACCTCTGAATCGTGCACTGAGTAGACTTCCTTCCGAATCATTCACCGCCCCAACATATAGGCAAGTATCCTACCATCAAGACAATGTTGTGCGATAACCAATCGTGAGCATCATAGCAACCTGTGCATAGCCTCCAAGCTCTTAGAAGCACAACTACCGAGCCGAAACGATAGAAAAATTCTTCCGCAAGGCGACGACAATAGCCCAACCAACTATACCGGGAGAAACATCCCGCACCACATCTGTAGTACCATTATAATTCTTCAATTCTAGATTTATAACAAGCAGTTCGCGTCGCGTAAGATTGAGTAAGAAGGAAACAAGGGCATAAGACTCAAGGAATCAAATCGCACGATGAGGAATCAATAAGGGAGGTGCTCCTAACAGTCATGTAGCCTCTCGAAGATAAGTACAGACGTCTCTGTACCGATTCACAAGACTTTACTAGACTTGCTCATGACTCGTGAGACCTAAGAGAACACATTGCTCTGATACAATTTTGTCACGACCCATAATCCACTAAGGGTTGTGATGGCACCGAACACTACTGTCAGGCAAGCCAACCAAAATACTTGATTAAGTTCTTGTTTTAATAATTTTGAAAATTATGATTTTCCTTCAATTTTACTAGTAAAAGACAATCTTTACAATGCAAATAAAAGATGTTTGGAAGTAAATACAAGATACCCCATAATCACCTAAGGACCCAGTTTCACAAGTGCATGGGCATTTACTAAGAAGGAAATAAAATACAGTAACTGTCCGGAATACAAAGTGGACAGAAATAAAAAATACAGTACCATACTCTGAAGGGGACTATGTTGGCTGCGGGTCGTCTCGACAAATGCAGCTCACCTAAGTCTCCGTATCAACCACGTCGTTACGCCACTAGCCACACATGAACCTGTGCAACAAAAATGCACAGCAAGAGTAGTATGAGTACGAAAACAACGTGTACCCAGTAAGTATCCCTTCTAATCTCAAAGAAATAGAGATGAGAGGTCGACTTCGACACTTAGTAGTGGTCCAATGATAATATAGTAAAAATGTGAGGAAATCATGGATTTCATAAAGCAAAATAAGCTCATAAAGCCGGAAAGCAGGTAAACAACTTCTCAATAATAAAAGGGTTTCCAAAGATTTATATTTCATCATCTTTATCAATTTATCTCAGGCTAGGAAAGGCAAATATCAACATGTGTATATCTCAAGCAAGCAATACAGGCATGTGCATATCATGCCGAGGTCGTACGGCCCGATCCAACAATATTTAACTGTGCACTGCCATAGGGTCGAATGTCGTGAACCATAGATGCATCTATTTAATCTACCGAGGCGTTCGGCCCGTTCCGAAATTAAACACATACAGACAATCAATCAAGAAGTCAACGGGGAACAATTATCCAAAGAAAAGACAATTCTCTTTTAAAAATTTAAGAAAATAGAGTTTAATCTTTTAAGAAATTTATTCACTAATTCGATGTGATTTAAGCAATTCAAACTACCAATAAGATTACAATTATTCCAAGTATAGCATGCTTTTGGGTCCTAGACTACCCGGACATAAACTAAATAGTAGCTACGCACGGACTCTTGTCACCTCGTGCGTACGTAGCCCCCCCCACAAATAGAAGCACAAATCCAATTAATTCACCTATGGGGATAATTCCCTCTTACAAGGTTAGAAAGGAGACTCACCTCGCTCCGAAGATCCATAACCGGCATTCCACGCCCTTCCGAAGACTCGAATCGATGCTAAATGATCCAAAATAGCCAATAATTATGCAAATCCATTAATATATGTTCAATTACTCATTACAATCCAATTTATAACAATTCCTAACCCCGATCGAAAGGTTGACAAAATTGCCCTTCGGCCTACGTACCCGGATTCCAAAATTTCTCGAAGATAAAGTTTACCCATGAACTCACGAACTCAAATACATGATTTTCTCTTAATTCCATATCCCAAATCATGGTCAAAATCCAAGAATACGAATTTTCTAGGTTTTCCCTCAAACCCCAAGTTTCTACCAATTTACATGCTAAAATCCATACACAATCAATACATTTAACTCAAGATAGGTGGGGTTAGCTTACCTTGTCGTTGATGATGAAAAACCCCCACTTGAAGCTCTCCAAAATCATCCACGCCGAGTGAAAATGGGGGAAAATGACCAACCCCCGATTTTAAAAGAATACACTGCCTCCAGCATTTCCGCACCTGCGGTCACTTGACCACTTCTGCGATTCCTCAGGTGCGACCCACTACCCGCTTCTGCCGCTTCTCACCAGGCTGCCCTTTCCGCTTCTACGCCTCAACCACCGCAGGTGCGGTCCCGCTTTTGCGGCTACATGACCGCATCTGCAGTCTCTTCACTTCTGGCCCAGCACCGCATTTGTGTCCCTCCTAGCCACTTCTGCGGCTTCGCACATGCGGCCAAAACCTCACAGGTGCAGTTACACCAGATACCAGCTGCTTCGATACTTCTTCAAATTTCGAATTTGATCCGTTAACTATACGAAATCCACCTGAGGCCCCAGGATGCAAACCAATCATACCAACGAGTCCCAAAACACATTACGGACTTGCTCGAGGCCTTAAATTATATCAAACAACGCTAAAATCATGAATCGACCTCCAATCCAAGCTTAATAAACTTTAGAATTTCAAACTTCTGCATTCGATGTCGAAACCTATCAAATCACGTCCGATTGACCTCAACTTTTGCACACACGTCACATTTGACATTATGGACCTACTCCAACTTCCAGAATCGGATTACAACCCCGATATCAGAAAGTCCACTTCCGGCCAAACTTTTCCAAAAACCTTCAAATTTCTATCTTTTAGCCAAATGACTCCAAAATGACCCACGGACCTCCGAATTCACTTCTAATCGCGCTCCCAACATCAGAATCACCATACGGAGCTATTCCTAGGCTCGGAATCCCAGACTGACATTGATAACACTGAGATGAACTTCAACCCAAACTTATGAAATTCTTCCAAAAATGTTAACTTCCACAATAGGTGCCGAAACGTTCCCAAGTCTTCCAAAACCCGGTCCGGACATACGCCTAAGTACGAAATAATCATACGAACATGCTGGAACTTTCGAATCCCAATTCCAAGGTCGTTTACTCAAAAATCCAATCTTAGTCAATTCTTTCAACTTAAAGCTTCCGAAATGAGAATTCTCTTTACAAATCAACTCTGAATTCCCCAGAATTCAATTCCGACCATGCGTACAAGTTATAATACCTGAAGTGAAGCTGCTCATGGCCTCAAACTGTTGAACGACGCGTTAGAGCTCAAAACGACCGGTCGGTTCGTTACAGTATCAATCCCTAAAAGAACCCGACCCTGTGTTCCTAGCGCTTCATGTTCTTANTCTGTGTTCCTACTGCTTCATGTTCTTATATATATATAGACACACACACATGCACACACATAGACACTTCACTGTAATACTATAATGTATATATAACTTTTTATAGTATATGTTAGTGTGTGTATATATATACACACACACTTTGTGCTACTGTAACTACATATATAGCATGTTATAGTATATGATACTGTATTCATTATTTGTATTGTAACAGAGTTAATGAATTACATTCATTCATCACTAGGTTATAAGTCGATGAATAAATTGTAACAGAATAATTGATATAAGTCGAGACGTTTTGTTTTTAATATTCAGCGATGCATCTTAATAGGTTATAAGTCGATGAATCAATTTACATACAGATATATTTGATGAAAAATTACATATACTAATTAGGATCTTGACAAGTTTATCAATCCCTAAAAGAAGTTCTTTTAGGGATTGATAGACTTGTCAAGATCCTAATTATTAAAACGTTATAACTGAGTCCCACATTAGCGACCAAAATTGGTCGCTAATTTCAAATTTCTTTGACCAAGCAAGTCTGATCAGCTCAGTCAACATGTTGACCACTTTACCGACCAAAAAGTAACCAATCTTGGTCGGTAAATTATTTAAAATAATTATTTAGTAATTTTCTCTACATTAGCGTTGGTTGCTTTTTTTTGACCAATTAATTTTGATCGCAAATTTTTGATTGATAATTCCCAAATTTCTAGTAGTGATCAGATGAGAGACTGCCTGGATCGAGGAAAGAAGGATGATGATAGGATATGGCAGAGGAATTTTTATAACAAGAACAACATTAGGCAAATGTAAATAAGCTATAGAGTTTTAGCTTTATAGGAGATGTTGTATAGGTGCTGTTATTTTTTCTGTTATTTGACCTTAGCTGATGTATACATTTTGTCTGGCGATGAATAAAAATTTTTCTTTCAACAAAAAAAGAAGTCAGTCAGTTTTCAGTGAGTGGTGATAATAAATTATCCCTATTAATTTGTAAACGTCATCCTAATTAACATGATCTAAAAGAAGTACAGTTTGATAAAAAAGTGGTTTAATTGCAATGCGCACTAGGGCTTTCTTTTCCCCGTCTATAAATAGAGACTTCAGACGTCTCTCCCTTACACAACAAGAGTTCGAATATTAATATAACTGACGACCAAATTGCTTCTCATAATGAGAGCTCTCTTTCTCATCTACCTTATCCTTTCTCCCTTTAGAGCTGTATCAAGAACTTTGCTAGGTAGCATTCTCCTTCCCTTGGCAACTCGACTGTTTTATGCATATTCATATCCTTTCGTAATAGAATAAGAAAATTGATGCAATTTAGCATTACGACCACTGAAATTAAAGCTAGATATCCACTGTTTTATTCAACTATAATTTCAATTTTCTGTCTTTCTTTTTGTTATTTTGTAGTACTAGTACCTTAATTTTAGTCACCTTTTGTTTAAAGCGGGCTGCATGCATGGGATCTGATAGTTTTAGTAATTATACAGACACTTAACAACTTATATATTTTTCCTTTATAATGGATTTGAGTGTGGGTTGTGTGAGTTTTAAATCTCTTTACTTTTTGTCCCAAAATGATGTTTTACTTTCAGTATTAATTTCAAGCACATCGAGCAGTTGAGGGCTAGCTCACTTGGTGAGCTCTCTGCCTTCCACCGTTAAGGTGGCCGGAGGGTCCAAATCCCATTAGTAGTATAGCATTCCCCTTCCACCTCCCCCTAGATCCCCCCGGCCCCCAC